CACACTATTCTATCTAATTATTATTAACCAGTGATTGAGATATGATGGGAAACCTGCATTATGTCCTCCCTATCCGTGCCTTAGTGGTCTCAAATACATAGTGGAAAGATTGGCAAAGACTAGCAATTAGGAGAAATAATCAAAGCGCGTTTGATAACGTACCTAAGTACATACAATTTTTGCAAATCGTGGATTGGCTTGATTACACCATAACCTCGAAATACAGCGCGATTACACACGATAGCGACAAGGACCCTGATAAAAACCGTTGCAAGTGAAACGATTTTGGTAAACGTGTAAAGTATAAATCGTTGAAAAATTATACGCTCGATCCAAAGCGAGGTTACGTTAACTGAGCCACAACCGTAATCCGTAAGAATCCGTAATAACCCAAATGGAGAAAATGAAGAAATTGTTAGAAGACATGAAAACAGATATCAACTGTGAGTAATTAGGAGAAACCAAGAAGAGTGTTAAAAACGTAAAGGAAAGAATTATACAGCAAAGAAAAGAGAAAGAGTGTGACAATAGTCACCAGTCTAGAAAAAAGATTAGACTAGAAAAATAGGAACAGAATAAAGAGTTAAACGATTATAACTATAAAATCCATAACTGTTCTAGTGGAGATAGTAAATGAATAGCATAAACAACAGATAATGAAAAACAAACACAATCTGCGAAACACAAATGTATGTATAGAATGCGCCCAACTATCCTGGAAAGCAAATAGCCGCCCAAATAGAAGTGTAAAAGGACCAAAGAAAGAAGAGAATCGCGATGAAAATCGGATGCACGAAACTTCACAAAAACCAACGGATATGGAACCCGGCTCAATATGCGATCGGATAGAATCACATATAAAATTATATTTGACAAATTTCATTAAAAGCGATTAAGAGGTGACCCTCTTTCGAACGCATTGTATACACGGTGTCCATTTTTCGAGTGCCACTATTGGGATCTCACTTATCTTAAGAGATAGAAAGTTGGTTAAAGTTGCCAATTTTCGTGCCGAATAAGAATCTGAAAAGAAATTTGAAATATCTTCAATAGTTTTGAAGATATCGCAAAAAAACGAAAATTTCTGATTTTCGTTTTTAATTTTTTTATGATAAACTAATCGTAGTAGACATTTCTAATTAACACATTATTCGGACACTTTTTTATGGAGATTTCAAATACGGCATCCTGTTTTTAATAACTTTCAAGATGACGGAGAAACGCGCGGAAACTTTAGTTTTTCTTATGGGCGCCATTTTGAATTTTCCCATTTTGAGATTACGTCTTTTTTTCTCTTTACAACGATATATCACACATGGTGGTTCAGTATCACATTTTTCCTAAAAATACAATTTTTAATTTTTTGAGAAGAGTGTTTTGTAAAAAGAAAACGTTCATTTGTTGTGAACAAATGTCTGACAGTTTGATCCATCTGTCTGGTTCAGAGAAGTAGAAATTCGATTTTCATCTGAACAGAATTGAACTTTCGTTTTGCAAGAATTATAATTAAAATTAGAACAAAATATATAACAACATGTGTTCAAATTGCCCACCTCCTAATTCTGAGCACAGTGCCACTCTCTTCCTAAGATTTGCTATGGCTCTTGACACATCTTTTCTTCTAATCTTGTTCCTGAGAGTGCTCACAATTCTATAACGAAGTTCAATGTTTTGTAAATTTCATTTTTCATTGTTCCCCACAAAAAATAGTCCAAGGGAGACAGGTCAGGTGACCGCGCCGGCCAGCGTACGTCGCCATTATTAGCAATAACATGATTGGGGAACAATTCCGATTATTTCCTTCGTCTATTAAATGTCAATTATCAACCAATCACACTTTTGATTCCTGTTTGACGAAACCAATCAACACCCTCCATTAGCGACTATTTTGCATGGTGCACGATAGCCGACTATCAGCTTGACAGCTTGTGCATCTGACAGCACTTAACTTAAACGTCAAAATCGTGTTGTTGAGGTTTTTGAATTGAATCATTTTGGCGAAACCACAAGCGAAGAAATGATGGTGGTGTGGTCCAGTCTACAATCCCGCATAATACAGTGAGGAGTAAAAATAGCGTATGGAAGCAGTTTACCAAATTTTGCGAGCATCGGCAATGTAAACTAAATGAATCAACACCATTCACAAAACTGAATGATATTTTGACCTGGAACATGAAAAAAGAAGATGGGGAAGGTTATAAAGAATATAGTGTAAAGTGTATGTGGAATTCAATTCAGTCAATTGATACCTATGTTTGTATTTTGTAGATTGTTGTTGATATTTTGCATAAATTATATCAAACTGTTTCATTTTGTGAATATGCCTCTCTGATATAAATAATTGGATTCAAGAAATAATCTTCATAAATATAACACGACCTTGATTAATAAGCGACTATTTTGATTGGTGCTAAATTTCTCTTGTATTTATTAATTTGACTCCACATAATTTTGGCGTTAATAACCATAGATGAAAGCCCTCGAGCTTCGCTCTCGGGCTTTCATCAGATTATTAACGCCAAAATTAATATGTCTCGTTAAATTATTATAAAATACAATCGAAATTTAGATGCAATCTAAATAGTCGACTATTTATCAAGGTCTTGTTATATTACCCTTGATAAACATTCCCCAACCCTTCTAGCATTTAGGGCGGTGCGCCATCTTGCTGGAACCATATCGAGTTCAAACGATGAAGAGGAACGTTATTGTCAATAAAATCGGTTAGAAATGTCCTCAGGAAATGGAGGTACCGATCAGCATTTAGAGTCTCTTAAGGACCAATTATTGTATCGCCCAATAAACCGACCCATACGTTAACGCTAAAACGTATTTGTGGTAGTCGTTCTTGACATTGCATAAACCTAGTAAATGGCACTACATGAAATAAGTCAACCTTTTGTTCACGACAAAAGAACGTTTTCTTTTTCCAAAGCACTCTTCTCAAATAATTAAAAATTGTATTTTTAAGAAAAATGTGATACTGAACCACCATGTGTGATATATTGTTGTAAAGAGAAAAAAAGACGTAATCTCAAAATGTGAAAATTCAAAATGGCGCCCATAAGAAAAACTAAAGTTGTCACGTGTTTGTCCGTCATCTTGACAGTTATTAAAAACAGGATGCCATATTTGAAATCTCCATTAAAAAGTGTCCGAATAATGTGTTAGAAATGTCTACTACGATTAGTTAATCATAAAAAAATTAAAAACGACAATCAGAAATTTTCGTTTTTTTGCGATATCTTCAAAACTATTGGAGATATTTCAAATTTCTTTTCAGATTCTTATTACTGGAACTCTGTAATCTTAGAATAGAAGTATAGGCATTTCGTTGTTCCCTGATGAAAACATCCTTGCTGTCGAAACGCATAAGTTTTATAAGGTTTTACTTTGTTTTGTTTTTTTGATTTTTATCTTTTTGATCACTATCTTTTTCCTTACTAAATTTTCTATTTTTTAGGATATATGTTTCGCACGATTAGGATGTTGTGTGTGGGTGCACCATCCTGGTTTCGGCGATCCCCATGATAGACCTCCCTATTTTGGACACAGTGTATAATCATTGCTGCATTCGTGGTTATAGTCACCCTATACACTTGCGTAACGCATCATAGGGGTTTCAATGTAAAATTCATAACATGCGATTATTGGTTCCCCAAACTATTTTAGAGCAAAAATGTATTCAGGTTTTTTGTAGAAAAAAATGTTTTACGTCAATCACCCGTATTAGTTTTCAATTTTTTGCATAATAAAGACGGAAAATTGGAAAAATAAAACCCCCAACTTTCTCAATAATCTGTGATGCCATGGAATTTTATAATACAAAAACTACGCCAATATCCGTCATGCAATGGAATGTCTGCTAAGTATAAAACAAATCAAATTCTATCAAAAAGTATTATATTTAGAACAGCGAATTCAACATAAAGAAAGACGAAATTACTAAAAACGGTTTTCTAATATAAATCACTTTACAATAAATGTTCGAATAAGTCACCATTAACTGCAAGACAGTAACCAAGTCGATCATAAAATCCATTTCGAACTGCTGCTAATTGATAACTGGATATCTTTTTGTTTTACAAAATTCCATGACATCGCAGATTATTGAAAAAGACGCGGATTTTATTTTTCCAATTTTCCGTCTTTATTATGAAAAAAATTGAAAATTAATATACGATTGATTGGCGTAAAAAAATTTTTTCTACAAAAAACTTTAATATTTTTTTTCTAAAATAATTTAGGGAGCCAATAATCGCATGTTATGAATTTTACATTGAAATCCCTATGATACGTTACGAAAGTCATCACCCTGTATAAACGCATCAACTGATCAACTTCCAATGGTACAAAAGCGGGACAGAACTACGGTACACCCCTCCTTGACATTTCTGATATTCACTCCAAGTAAAATCGTTGGGTGAGGCGAATCTTTTGCCACTATCGTTATTGCAGACGTTGCCATGAATTTTGTCGTGCGTTTTATTCCATTGTGCTATATTACACACATTATACTGTGGGATCAAAAAAGACTTGCTGTCGAGTCGCCTTTGGAATTTTTGTTTACATGGGAAGTCATATTTAACTTGAACTTCCAAAGGTGACTCGACGTCAAGCGTTTTTTGATCGCCCGTGGTGCATTAAATGCGAAAACACGAACTCTTCTTTTGCTGTTTCTATTTTGCCTCATTGGTGTCAACGGGATCTTGAAACATGTTTTTTTTAATCATTGGTTCAGAGTAGTGAATGTACAACAATCGTCTGTCACACTGCATACACAAAGAGCATGTTTTGGAAACATGAGTAATTTGCACCAGTTGCAGGTTTAGGGCTAAAGAATGAATATACTAGTGAAATAGTTTAACTTAATATTAAGCTTTCGATCGTTTGTCAACAATTCGGAAAATAGCTCCGTTTTGTCTGCAATGTGTCACTTTGCAGAATTCCCCCTCACACTTCACAATTCAAAAACTAAGGTACTGTTTAAAAATACTTACAAGTTGTGGATTCCGCCAATACTCCTTCACTTCTGTTCAACCTTTCCTGCACGTGTAACTTATGGTCGAAATGATATAACGGGTACTTCTCCTTGGCCTCTTGCAAAACGGATTCGGCCGGATTGGACATGGATTCCTCAGCCGGCCGAGGCGAAAAACCTACTCCCGCCTCGCTGTCCATCTTGTCCTCTTCGGGCAACGTCTGCCCCTCTTGTGGGAATGGTGGCATTTTTCTGAAAAAACGTCCCGATTTTAGCAAACTGAAGTAAGCAGCGATTCTAACAAGTTTTTTTTCATGTAACCTCAATTGTAGTGATTGTGTATTTCCCATATCCGATTTGATAATGGGACTTAATTGTTAGGAGTCAAATCAAAACAATTTTATAAGAATTACTAGATCTACATAAGTAATCTTACGTAGAGGTAGAATTCGACTTCAACCCCTTCATGGTAGACTTGATAAGTTTAACCATTGCGGTAAGGCGGTTTTGATTTTTCGACGCACAGTTACACTAATAACATGATTCGGTTTCAATGCTTTTTACTAACTGCTAGAATTGGAAAATAATATTATCGATAATGTCGTATCGTTACTTAATCAACGCCGTTTAATTGGAGGAAAGCAACAAATTTTGCTCACCACTATCAATTTGGATAACAGTCATCATTATTATCATCGGTTTTGTGCACCGGTTCCCAAATGTATCAATAAGTTAGCATTTTATACACGATCACGGTCGGAACTGTAGTTAATTAGTTTTTAAGAAAAAAGCAACTTTTTAAAATACAGAGTGCCCATTATGTATGGAATATCGTATATATCTCGGTAAATATCGAATGTATACAAAATTTTTTTATACAAAAGTTGTTTAACATGTTATTTCCCATAATAAGGCAGCATCCAGTTTTTTTTTGTATAGGTGGGGAAATGCACTTTATGCACACTCTGCAAGGAAGTTCCAGAGTAGGTAGTGTGGGGCTCTCTCTCTCCCGTTTGCTGAGAATACCCACTAAAACCCCACCTAAGGCTTCGGTTGCTGAGGCCATTTGCCTATCGCCCTATAGACAAAGATATAGACGTACAAGACGAAACAAGAACTAGGCAACATTTACGTACATACTAATATCACAGATTATCACAGTTCATTCAAAATTCCGATACCTCGTATGAATCTTAATATTCTTTGACAGCAATCCTGACTAGAAAAATTGGTTTCCCATATCACATTAATTTTAAAGAGATCGCGCTCGTTTTGGTACGCTGCACAGGTACAGAGTATGTGCATAGGTGTTAAGTTAGCACCACATCTATTACACAAGGGTGGTACTTCACCCTTCAGCAAATAACTGTGCGTTAAAGCAGTGTGTCCCAACCGGAGCCGATACAGCTTGGTCGAGTGCAACCGTTCCACGTCTAGTAAAAATAGTGGCCCAATATTTGGTTTAACTCTTTTCAATGATGTATCGGTCCGCGTCCACTGCTCCTGCCAGCGCTCACTGTTACCGTCCTGCAAATGTACCTCCTCTATACATTGTCTTGCTCTTTCTCCTTGAGTTTTATATAAACGTGTAGGTCTTGTTCTATTGGTCATTAAATTATAATTTGGATGTTTATCGTTCAGACGTACGTTCAGATAATAGTTGACTATTAACTGCTTTCGACGAAGAGCAAGCGGTAGAATATTCGCTTCGACGTTGAGAGCACTGACGGGACTCGTGGAAAAGGCCCCAAGGGAATACCTAATTGCTAGGTTTTGAATTTTGTCCAGTTTACTCAGCAACGTGGAATTACAGGTGGAATAACTATAGCACCCATAATCAATGCGTGACAGGATCAATGCCTATATATCGAGAAGGGATTTAGGATGAGCCCCCCATTTGAGGTGTGATAGTACTCTTAAAACGGTCCACCAAAGGTGAGTTCTAAAAATTTAATTTCGTTGGGTACACTTATTACCTGGCCATTAAAAAACATTACAGGATCATAATGAGGTTTACGAAGCCTACAAAAATGCATTGCTTTGGTTTTTTCCTCGGAAAGCACATACCCTATTGCATCTGCATTTGTAGCAATTTGGTTGATGTAACCTTGCAAGCTATGCACTACACTGCCTATAGTTTTTCTGGCAAGGCATATCATCAGGTTAAAGTTGATCCTTGTGGCACTCCATTCTCTAAAATGTATTCCTGGGAATAGGTGTCTCCGATTCTGACGGCAAACCGCCTATCTTCTAAAAAGGAACGTGCAAACTTGGGTAAATTACCGCGTAGATTATATTTTGGCATATTCCTTAGAATTCCATGCCTCCATGTCATATCGTACGCCCCTTTAATATCAAAGAACACCGCTACCAGTGCTCTCTATCATCGAAGGCCCTTAGGATTCTGTCACTCAGTTTTACCAAGTGATCAATTGTTGACCTGCCACGCTGAAAGCCCGTTTGGTATGGTACCAATATGTCGTTAGTTTCCAAAAATGATTACAGCCGCCGCGCCGGTTCACCAGTTTCTCTAATAGCTTACCCAAACATGACGTTAGACTGATTGGGCGATAGTGGTTTGCCGATAATGGATCCTTTCCTGGTTTGAGTATGGGAATTACAACAGCCTTTTTCCATTCTGGAGGGTAAGTACAATTTTACCAGCATTTGTTAAATAATATTAAAATTTTTTGTTTCATTTCCAGACTACAATGGCGGATCATTTGATTATGAATTCCATCGTATCCCGGAGAGCAAGATTTAGTGCTCTGGATTGCTGACTCCAGCTCTTCATACGTAAACGGTAGGTTGTAAATCTAAACTTTCTTGTTTTTCAAAATCCACAAGATTTGCTTCCTCATTAGGTTTGGTTGCAAGGAAGGTTTCTGAATAATTTAAGGAGCTGCTAACTTGAAAAGATTGGTGCGCCAGAATGTTTGATATTTCCTGCAAATTGTTGGTCATTACCCCATCTGAATTACGGATAAATGCCGGATAATTACATCCAGTTTTACCAGATCTTTCTCCATATTCCATTGGTGGTAGCATCGGGTGTAATGGTGGACACAATTCAGTTGTTTTTATTTCAGAAAACAAATGAGTAACGAAAAATAATTGAATTTTTTCTTTTCATTAGGCTCACTTGATAGAGATTTTTTTCTCTTTTCGATGATTGTTAGAACCCTTATTCAAAAAAAACATTTTCAAAAAAATTTATTATAATTTAATCAATCACATTAATTCAGATATCCTACGTGAAAATAAAACAAATGAACGTGTGTACGTTTCTTATTAAACCTTGAAGACAAATGAAATTAATGGTTTTGATCGCAATGAATGTTCAAAATGTGGGCAGTGACATAACCTACTACAAAAAGCTTGAAATAAAAATTAATTTTTGAATTAATAATTTATTTTTACACGGGTTCCCCTTCCCAAGTACCGTCCCGAGTTCAAAGACGCGGACGAGCGCAACGATCAAAAGTACTCTATGACAGAGGAAATAAAGCTATCACCAAAAGAAACGGCAAAAGGTTTCATCATTCTAAAGGCACGAGGATAGTAATGCACTGCCTCAGAAAGGAGCAATATTTTTAATGCTTGCTTATGGACTATAATGTCAAACTGCGATTAGAAACCCATGAAAAACTGAATTTTGTGACAGGCTGCTCCTACCTTCCAAAATGGATAGGTATATTTGGCGAATCGCGGTTTAACGATATAAATAATACTCAATTTTCAGGGCAACCAATGATAATACTTTTCCAGGCGAAAATTCTGATTATTATCAAAATTTCCACGGTTCATTCAGTAATTTATTGAATAAGGTGTAGTTCCGCAGGATACGTCATGTAGGAATAGGAAACGCGAAGAAAAATAAAGCTGTTGAGGAGTATATTAATGAGTGTATACAGAAGCTGCTTTATGAATTATAAATAGCAATTAGTAAATGCCAGTAAAAAGGAAACGTAACGAACTCGGAAATCGGAAATCAGGTATAGGGTATAAAATCATAGCACGGTGAAATGGAATAAAACCATTACGAAAGCAATTTTAAAACCCTTTTCTGTTTCCTGTTCCCTTATTGCCATTCTTTGAGATTTGGTATAAGAAAGTATGTTTCTTGCAAGAAGTTTAAAAACGTCATTACTCGCTTTGTGTTGGGTCCACGTATGGCTTTTATTGGTAGGTATTTTTAGTGTTAATTTTCCCACGTGTCATTTATTTTTGAACCTTTCGTTTGTATTGTAACAAAAATCAAAATATTCACCTGTAATTTACAACTTTGATCAAAGTACCTAATAGCTTATTAAATTTGTATAGTTAGCTGCTAGATGTCACCGAAAAGTATTTTTAGGATAAGAGGAGGTGGTGGTACTTTATGAATGCATTACAATTCCATCTCTCTTTTTCCCACGTTGACACAACCCAAAACACAAGCCTGGACACTACGCTTGATGACTGACTCCTACCAAATACCCAAAAAGAGAACTTTTTTCTTTCTCCACCAGTAAAATATAACTTATTTACGTTTGAGGTTATTTGTCAGTGAGCAACACATATAATATTATACGTTATACGTCAGCGTAAATTTTTTTCAAAGATATCAAAATAGTTATTTACATAAAATTCAGGAAAATAACACATTACTGGCGAGGAAAGATTGAAGTGCGAGGCCCCTTTCGGGCCGAGTACTTTATTTTCCGAGTCTAGTAATTTCATTTTACTGACGAGTTTTGTATTAAATTTTACATTTAGCAATGTCAAGAATGCGGCCGGTAAAGTGACAGGTGCGGCCAGTAAAGAGACAAGCGCCCGGAAACGTAGTCTGCTCTGCCTCTGTCATTGGAAACTTTTGAAGAGCGTTTCTCAGTTTTCTGGATAATTCAAGTCTAGCATAGTCGTCGTCAATAGGGCCATGGAATTATTGCCATAAGAAATGCATTGTCAAAGCAAAAATTCAATATTAATTTCCAAAAAAATATTAAGTATTTGGTATCGGCGAGTATCTATCGAGAGACACCAAAATCCATTATGGCGTCCATAAGAAATAAGACAGCCAATGTGATTTATTCGAAACTCGAAACCAGTCATAAAAATGTTAGTACCATCTAAAAGCCAACCGACGCCGACGGTTCACTTACGGTTTGCGAGATTCCTATAGTGGAAGTGACAGAACTCACTCTGTATAGCCAAATATTCCAAGCAATCCATGTACAATAATGAAAAATAAAGAATTGAACACATATTTGAGAGAGTAGATAAAAATATGTGAAAAGGAAGAGAAAGGCTTGACCAGTTTTCTCTCCGCGGCAGAACCGATTTCGTGTTAATCAGCATGAAAACATTAAAAACTAGGTAACTAACAATGGTGCAAAAACGGTGCTGCTGCATGAGGGATTTGCAATAACGTATACCTTAAAAGGGTAGAAGAATTTTAGCATCTTGCGAGGGTCCTGCTGTAAAAGGTGTGAAAACGCGCGAAAATACGTTTTCGGATTTATAGG